CTCCCCATTTCCGTCCTCCCCCCACCCCCGCCCACGGCTGGTCTCCCTTCACTGGACCCGGCTCGCTGATGGATTCTCTTTGCGCAGTCTGTGCGTCATCGCCCCCCACCCCCGGAACCTCTAGCTATCCAAGCCCCCAGCCCCAACCCCATGGCAGGAGATACGGTCGAAGGGTCTGGTGGCAGAGAGGGGCTATCGCTGACGTTGCCCGCCCTTCCTCATCGCGTTTAACCCTCCCCTTTAAGCGGTGGAGAAAGCTGGAGTTGAGTCACCCCATCACCACCTGCGCAACCCCCTCCCCACCTGGTCTGATCTCGCCCTCCAAACGTCCTTGGTGGGGGGGGGGAACGGCGGGAGAGAAAGAAGCTGGAGGAGGGTGGGTAGAGGTGGACTAAAAAGGGGCACAGCGGGGGCCCCGACATGTGCAACAGAGTCAGAAGGACACACATATCTTTTTCTCCAGACCCACACCGGTAGTGAACAGAAAAGACCCAGAGGCAAGCACATCCTCAATCTTTCCCTGTCTCTTCCGACTCAAACCCTTACAGATGGGATTACCAAAACCGCAGGATCTACCCATCTGCCCCGGCCCAGGGCGGGCATCCCGCACCGCAGATTGTGGACAGCGCCCGCAGGCGCGCAGATCTGTCCTCCCTTTCTCAGGTTCACTCCGTCCTTGGGCGTGTTCCCCACGGACCCTGCGGTTAAGGGGTGGGGAGCTCGGCCCCCTCACCTGCTTTCAAATCCTATTCTCCCCCTCCCTGGTATTGATCTACTACTGGTGCCCAGTCAGACGCTGGGGGTGCCCCGTTCCTATTCCGCTCAGCAACGCGGGCTCCCGCAGCTGCAAGTTGCTTTGTAACCCACCCTCCCGCCTTCCAGAGCCTCTGCATCCACTGTTCCATTCATCCTCCCATTCATTCATTCATCCTTTTCTCCTAGTCTCCCCTTCATTCATTCATTGCCCCCCACCCCGCCTGCCCCGGCATTTCATTCATTCATTCATTCATTCATTTCTCCGAGCTCGGCTACCGCACGCCCCTCCAGCCGAGGGCCCCAGCGCGCAGGCGCAGGCCGGGAGACGCTCGCACCCTCCAATCGCTGGGCATCCTTCCTCCTCCCGGCGCCCGCCCGCTTCCCCATGAATGAACATTGACGTCAATGGGGCGGGGCGTGCCCACGTGACCCCGCGCACTTCTCTTTATAAGGCGGCGGAGGCGCGGGCGCTGTCCAGCGTGCTGAAGCTGGAGCGAGAGAGCTGCCCGGAGCCGCGCTGACCCAGCTGAGCCCTGCCCACTGGACGCCAGATCTCCACCGTCGCTCGTACCCCAGACACAGCTCGGAGCCGAGGCGGACGCGTCCCGATCTTCCCCTGTCCCCACCCTGCCCCGACCCTCCTCTCCACCTCTCGCGTCGTGACACCATCTGGTAAATACTCCACTGTCCGTCCCTCAAACCTTCGGCAGCCATGGGCGTGAGGGAAGGTTCTCTCTCCTCCCGGATGGGGAGGTTGAAAACACAGCGGGGAGCCCCCGGTAAGGGTCCCTGATAAAGGGGGAGTCGCAGCTTTTCTCTTGCTGCTGAAGTCGCCCACGCACCATCCGGGGAGTCCTGTGGAGTGGGAGCAGGGATTTTTTCCCCCTTATCCTTGCTGCTTAGTACGTGGGCGCTGGCAGTGAGTTGGCTCAGGGAAGGGGGTGAGGAGGCACTGGGTGAGCGAGGGTTGCCGGGTGTTCTTTTCCCATTTTCACGACTCCAGAGATCGGCACAACGTCTTCCTCTTTTACTTCTAAACGTCTCTCTTCTGGGTAAGGTTAGGGGGATCAGGGAAGCCCCGGGTTTCCTGCTTAAAGGTGGGGGAAGGGAACGTAGAATTAGAGAGCGGGGAATTCTTACAGAAATACTCTTTATTTGGCCCCTTCTATTTTTCAGTCTCCGGCAGCTCCTTGGTCATGAAGTCCCTCAGGTTGCCGGCTTCCGCCCTCTTCTGCTTCTTTCTACTGATCAAGGGGTTAGGAGCAGCGCCCCCGGGTCGCCCTGAGGCGCTGCCTCCTCCCCTCAGCTCTGAACATAAAGAGCCAGTACTTGGGGACGCAGTGCCCGAGCCAAAGGATGGCAGCGCCCCTGAGGCCCGAGCCACTCGAAATTCCAAGCCGCAGGACGAGGGAGAGCTTTTCCAGGGCGTGGATCCCCGGGCGCTGGCCGCGGTGCTGCTGCAGGCGCTCGACCGGCCAGCCTCGCCCCCGGCGCCGGGCGGATCCCAGCAGGGGCCAGGGGAAGAAGCAGCAGAAGCTCTGCTGACCGAGACCGTGCGCAGCCAAACCCACAGCCTCCCGGCTCCAGAAACCCAGGCGCCCGCGGCCCCACCTCGCCCTCAGACTCAGAATGGTCCCGAGGCGGGCGACCCCTCTGAGGAGCTCGAGGCGCTAGCGTCTCTGCTCCAGGAACTGCGAGATTTCAGTCCGAGCAGCGCCAAGCGCCAGCAAGAGACGGCGGCAGCAGAGACGGAAACCCGCACGCACACGCTGACCCGAGTCAATCTGGAGAACCCCGGGCCGGAGCGCGTGTGGCGCGCTTCCTGGGGAGAGTTCCAGGCGCGAGTCCCGGAGCGCGCGCCCCTGCCACCCCCGGTCCCCTCGCAATTCCAGGCGCGTATGCCCGAGAGCGGGCCCCTTCCTGAAACCCACCAGTTCGAGGAAGGAGTGTCCTCCCCCAAAACACACCTAGGAGAGGCATTGGCACCCCTGTCCAAGGCGTACCAAGGCCTGGGCGCCCCTTTCCCCAAGGCGCGCCGGCCGGAGAGCTCCTTCCTGGGCGGCTCCGAGGCGGGGGAGCGCCTTCTACAACAAGGGCTGGCGCAGGTAGAGGCCGGACGGCGGCAGGCAGAGGCCACGCGGCAGGCAGCGGCGCAGGAGGAGCGGCTGGCCGACCTCGCCTCGGATCTGCTGCTCCAGTATTTGTTGCAGGGAGGGGCCCGGCAGCGCGGCCTGGGGGGTCGGGGGCTGCAGGAGGCAGCCGAGGAGCGAGAGAGCGAGAGGGAGGAGGCGGAGCAGGAGAGACGCGGCGGGCAGGAGAGGGTGGGGGAAGAGGATGAGGAGGCGGCGGAGGCGGAGGCAGAGGCGGAGGAGGCGGAGCGGGCACGGCAGAACGCGCTACTGTTCGCGGAGGAGGAGGATGGGGAAGCCGGTGCCGAGGACAAGCGCTCCCAGGAGGAGACGCCGGGCCACAGGCGGAAGGAGGCCAAGGGGGCAGAGGAGGGCGGGGAGGAGGAGGACGACGACGAGGAGATGGACCCTCAGACGATCGATAGCCTCATTGAGCTGTCCACTAAACTCCACCTGCCAGCAGACGACGTGGTCTAACTTCGTATAATGTATGCTATACTAAGTTATTACGCACCCACGTCCGCTCCCCGCAGCCCCCGGCCCCCGCCCCCGCTCGAGACGAGCTGCCGGACTGGAACGAGGTGCTCCCGCCCTGGGATCGGGAGGAGAACGAGGTGTTTCCCCCGGGGCCCTACCACCCTTTTCCCAACTACATCCGGCCGCGGACACTGCAGCCGCCCTCGGCCTCGCGCCACCGCCACTACCACCACGCCTTGCCGCTTTCGCGCCACTATCCCGGCCAGGAGGCCCAGGCGCGGCGCGCGCAGGAGGAGGCGGAGGCGGAGGAGCGCCGGCTGCAGGAGCAGGAGGAGCTGGAGAATTACATCGAGCACGTGCTGCTCCGGCGCCCGTGACCCACCCCGGCCCCGCCCCCGCTGCGCGCGCCCCCGCTGCGCGCCGCCACTCCCCCCTCCGTGTCGCTCCTCCCTCCTCTCGGTGTTTGCATGCGCCCCGCCCCCGGACTGTGCAGGGACCTGTCGACCGCTTCCTGCGTCTGAAGCCCCAACTCCCAAAAGTCACTCACGGGTGCCCCGGGGCCAGCCAGGCGGGCGTGTGGTTTGTGCGAGTGCCCTCCGCGCGTAGGGCCCGGTCCCCATCCAGTCCCTCTCCGGACGTCCCCGTCCGAAACAGGAAAAAGCAGTTACAGTTAATTGTGCGAAGAAGTGTGTCTGTCTGCCGCCCCTCGGGCCTCCCAGGAGCCTTTCCGCCCTCTCCAAATCGCTGTGAATTTACCCCTTCTTTCCCTTCTCAGTTGTAAATACCCCTCACGGAGGAAATAGTTTTGCTAAGAAATAAAAGTGACTATTTTATTAGGACTTTGTTCTCGGTTATTCACCCGTCCCCTTGGGCCTGTGTGGTCCTTTCTAAGGGGCGGTGAGGGAAGCGCCAGCCACAATCCCCATCTACTCCTGCTCCCTACCGCCAAACCAAAGCGGGGGTTGAGTAGGGAGGGGGGACAATTGAACATGGCCAGCACCCATTAGGAAGCCCTAAATTCCACTTCCGCTTGGGGGAGTGGTGGTGGTAGTTCAAGTCATCCGTTCCCAAGGCCGGACAAAGAGAAGCAGAGTGGAATGTCATAAAAGAGTCAATTGTCTGGGATGAGCCCAGCAAGCTTCTAGTTCAAAAGAAAAAGCATCACACATAAGGTGCTGAAGCTCTGGGCACTGTGGAGGCTCTTCTTTTCATGATCCTGGGGCCACTTAGGCAATGCTGGGTGGTTCCGGCTCCACTTTGCCCATCCTCAACTGCTCCCTAAATTCCCTGGTCCTAGGCACTTCACAGGGAATGTGGGAAGATTGAGATCCCCACACTGGCCAGTCAAAAAAAAAAAAAAAAAAAGAAAGAAAGAATTGTGGGGAGCAGAGGTTGGCAGCCACAGAGACCCTGGTTTCAGCCGTTTCTCAACCCTTTTCTCATCATAGAAATCTCTAAACTTCTGCGTCCCCTCCCCAAATAAAACTACGCCCAGCAAATGAGATCCTCCACAAAAAAATCTTAGAGGAGAGAAACCACATCCCCAGGAGTTGCTCCTCTTTGCATGAAGGCAGCTCAGGGAACTGGAAATAGCATGGTTGGAGAGGCATTGAGCACAAAAATCTGCTCGGGGTAGATATTTTATCTAGCCCAGATAAAATACAAGACACCCAGTTAATTTGAATTTCAGATAACAACAGGTAGGTTTTTAGAATTAAGTGTGTCCAAATCATTGAATCCTAAAAAATTATTCATTGTTTATCTGAAATTCAAATTTAACTGGGTGTCCTCTATTTTTTTTCTTCCTAAGCCTGGCAACCCCAATTTCAGGGAAGAGACTAATGGGCAGTGTTCCCTTGGCCTCCTGACAGATGCTAGCAGCCCTACCTTCCTTCACAGAGCCCAAGGCAAGCAAAGTCCTGAAATGCTTTTCCTTTTATTTCAGAAGAAAGGAAATAAAGGCAGACACTTCCCCCCACGCTGCCCCCTGAGCTCCTGCCTCACCCACAACATGGAGTGAAGCAGAGACAGGGCCAGTGTCCCATAAAGCCCGCCCTTCCCCCAACTCTACCTTCCCTCAAAGCAGCAAGGTTAGAAAAAAATTAACTCTGTTTTTCCTCCCCTGGACAGAGGCCCCACTGCGGCCAAGGAGGAAGGGGGGCAGGTGAGGGAAAAGGCCTTCCCTCTCACTACATGGAAGCCCCGCTTCCAGGCAGAGAAGCTGCCCTGGCAGGCTAGGGGTAGGGGTGGAGGTAGGTTATGGGGCAGGGGTAAGAGAAGAGCCCTGAAAACCTTTTCCCTTTAACCTGACATATTTATATATTTACAGTTGTAAAGAAGAAGTTTGGGGTAACATTGGTTCTTCAAAGGCAGGGAATGAAAGCCAAATAGCACCCCCATCTTGATCACATTTTCCTGCCTCGTGGCTCCTAAAACCTTCCATGGGAAAAGGGGATATAGGAGGTAAGGGGTTGAGGGAGGGAATGTTTGAAGGGCTTGAGCCCACAGCTCACTCCAAGAGAAGGTGAGGCAACACAGGCGCAGCCAGGTCCCACCAAGAGAAGAGCCCTGGGAGAGACGCAGGAGAAGCAGCCATCACACCCTCCTCTCTGCCAGCTCCCCCATCTCCAGGCGGCCAGGCCAGGCAGGGCTATGCCAGACCCATCTCCTCCAGCACACTGCGTGGCGACTCATCCTCCTAAGGCAGAGACAGACAGGGTGACGCAGAGACACCAGGAAACGCAGACAGGGTGGGCAAGATGACAGCGATCATGAGGAAGAAGTCCAAGTGAGAGAAGCACGAAGAGACATAGGGGAGGGGGAGAGAGAAACCAACATGAGCCCAGGGCTGGAATGGCTATGAGCCCTTCCAGGAGCTCACCAGCCACCTGGGACCACCCCAGAGCCAAAGGTGGCAAGGAGGGGTCCAGGTTGAGTCCATCACCACCCAGAGAACCTGAAGCCAGGGGCTTGGAGAGCAAGGGGCTTGGCCTCTGTACCTGACGGCAAAGGGAGGGAAGCTGGGACTGGGGATAGGAGTCCTGCTTTCCTGGGGGCTGGGGGATAGGGATGGTTGGGTCCTGTTTTTCAAAGTGGGAGGAGGCAGTAGGAGGTTGGCACCAGGTCCCTGAGGGAAGGTAAACCAGACTGCAGAGGGATGAGTCAATAGGGTCTGAGCAGAGCACTAATAACAGGGGCGGGTGTGTGTGCCGGGGCATGTGTGTGTGTGTGTGTGTGTGTGTGTGTGTGTGTGTGTGTGTGTGTGTGTGTATGAAGGGGATGCTGGACCAGTGGGGCAACACTCAGTTCTGTTCCTTCTCCTACTGCAGAGATGAGCCCCCCCGGCCCCCCATCTCTCCCCCTCCTCAGAGCCAGCTCAGGCCAGCTTGCTCGTCACTGCAGATTCCGGTGACTCATCTCCCTGCACCAAGGCTCAGCAGTGGCACAGCAGAGTGGGGGCAGGCAGTAATGGGGTAAGGGAGGGGGCGCCAGATAGCAGGGAGCACCAACATCCAGGGGCCTTCCACCCCAGCTCCCAAATCCTCACAGCCTTTTGCTCCTGAGAAGCAGTGGCTTTGGAGTATGTGTGCATATAAAAAAAAATGGGGAAGAAATCAGGAAAGAAAAGAATGATCTACCATGTGCCCCTTCTCTAATTCTCTGAGCAACCCTTAAAGCCATGAGAAGCATGGGACAAAGGAGATTTGGCTGGGACAAGACATCTGGGGTCTTGGAAGGACAGAGCTTGGAATAAGAGGAGAACTGGCACAGGTGGGCTGTCTGCCACCCCGGCAGCCCACCCCGGGGGCTCAGGGTTTGAGGGCAAGCTGGACAGCTGGGCGTGGTGGGGGCCAGATGCCACAGGGAGGGGGGCCCCCTCGGCGGCGGGCAGGATGTCCAGCAGAGGGAGGGCACCTTCTGCCACAAGTTTCTTCTTCCTCCTCACTGTCCCTGGCCCGTACCTCTTGCAGCAGGTCTGCCTGCTCAATAGCCTTCAGCACACTCTTCTTGGAGGTGTCCTGGACATCCCCCCCCATCAAAAACTCATCCAAGATGAAATAGGCCTTCTCAAAGTTGAAGATGATATCCAGCTCACACACCTGGGAGCAGGGGGAAGAGGCAGAGTTGAGTGTCAAGGTGCATTCCTAGACCACCGCACCCCAACCCCCTACTTCTCTCATGACCACTCCTCGCACCTTGGGTTCTTGCCCCAGGTCTCATGTCTTCCCAACCCCAGGTCTTAGTGCTTGGTTCAGGTTTTTCTTCTCTTCCTCTTGACTCTTTCTCTCCAATAATGAAATATTAGTTGCCCTAATCCACCCATGTCTTTGGTTCCCATTGCCTTCCCCACAAAATCTGCGACACTATTCCCAGCAGAGGCTGGGCTAGCCTCCTCCTTAGGCACTGTAGGGCAGACAAGGAGGAGATTCTGGACCATCAGGTAGAAGACTTGAGTTCCCAACAGGGCTCTCCACTAACCAGCCAGCGATGCATGCACTGAATGTCTTTGAGCCTCAGTTCTCATTTGAAAATGGAGATACCTACAACAACTTATAGGACGGAATGAGGAGCAAACGAGAGAAGCAAAAGCACTTTGTAAATTGTTAAGTGGTATACAAATTATGGAGTTATTGCCATTCCCCATCTAAGATCTGAGCTGTATGCCAATGCCCAGGCTATACCCCAGATAAGTTAATTCAGAATCTTTGGGGATGGGACCTGGGCATCGCTATTTTAAAAAACTGTCTAGAAGATTCTAATGCAAAGCCAAGGCCAGGAATCACTGACAAAATCTGAATTTGGTCTCTGTCCTTGTGTGAGAAGTCCAAGCTGAGCTCTATGTGGGGATTAAGTGCCAGATTCTGCCCCCCCTCCTTCCCCTAGGGCTGATTAAAGGACATGGCTAATAGGCTTAAAGCTTAAAAAGGGAGATTAAGTGCTGTTCTCACTGCTCCAACTTCACCTCTCCCCTGAGACTTCCAGGGCAGAGACTGGAAGGGCCTCAAAAGTTTAGTAAAAGAGGGGCTGCTGGGTATGAAAACTGGGATGGCTGGGGAGACTTACGCTGCCAAAGTATTTGTCCAGGAGCTCCACGTATCGGTGGATCAGCTCCAGAGTGATGAGCTCATTGTCTTGGCCCTCAATGGCGCAGCAGAAGTAGAGGCTGGCATATCTGAGGAGAGGAGCACATGAGACATAGCTGGGAGCTTGCTTCAGGCCCCAGGCATTCTGGACTCCAACCTCCCACCAGTCCTGGGTCTGTGCCTAACTGGGCACAAGTGGGGGTGGCTCCAGCATATGCAGAGAGTAACCCACTCTGTCTTAGTGCTCTCTCACAAACAGGCAAAGATGCATGCTCTTTCCTTCTTGCCCTTTA